CACATTGGGCACTTGAGCGACGAAGGCATTACGGTATTAGCCACACTTTTTGAAGCAGTTGAACGATTGGGGCTTTTCCCCCAGCAGTTGTTATGGATGTTATTCCCCTTCCTTGAAAAGCCCAAAGGAGGCCTCCGTCCCATTCTGTTGCTGGCCTCGTTTGTCAGGGTCTGGGAGCGGCTGCGTCGACCAGAGCTTGATGGCTTCATGGCCAGTTCGCGCCGCGAGTATTGGTCGTTTGGCGCAGGGCGCAATGCAGAAGACGCGGTATGGACCCAAGCAGTTCGTGCAGAGGCCGCAGCTTCGAACGGGGACGCGACAGAGGGGGTTCATTTGGGATGGTGTTAAATACTACGAGTCTTTCAACCTTGATAGGCTTCGTGGCCGGGCCTATCGCTGTGGGATTCCGCGGGTTATTGTCAAAACGATGTACAACTTATGGCGCGGGCCTCGCATTCTAAGGCTGGGGGCTCACCATTGTCCAGCTGTCTTTTTCGCTAAATGTGGATTACCTGCTGGGGATATCTTCAACGATGCTTTCGTTAAGGTTTATGCGATGGAAGCTTTTGATACAGTTGTCCGCGTGCACCGACAGGTTACTCTTTCATCCTACGTCGACGACGACACGGTGTATGCCACGGGCCCGGAGGAGCATGTCATTGCAGTTCTGGATGCTGCGGCCGAGGGTCTCCGGGAAGTTTTTGAAGATGATCTTGAAGTCGGGCCCTCTGCAGCCAAGGCCACCACCTTCGCCTCCTCGCGGCTCTGGCCAACAAGTTGTCAAAGGCTCTCAAGGGCCTGGCGGGCACGGTCTCCAATGTTGCGGTAAGTCTTGGAGTTGATCTAGCACCAGGACAAAAACGGTGTGTAAAGGGGGGTACCCGCAAATTCCGATGGAGGGCTAGGCAGATGCGCAAACGTCATTTGATTATCCAGCGCTACCGTAGGCAGCTCCCCAATAAGAAATTTCGAGTAGGCAAGATTTATACGTGCGGGGTCAGGCCAGGCCTTACTTTCGGGAGCAGTGTTGTCGGCATGTCTGATGCCGAACTTCAGTGTGCTAGGAGGGCCCTTTTGTGTTGTAAAGTTCCCGCCCACCGGGGGCCCCCCCTCACCGCCAAGGTTGTCCTCCATGGGGACCCTGTTTGGAAGGCCAGCGTTGCCCCAGCCATTCAGTGGACCAGCGTGGTTTGGAGGGTTACCACCCAACCCTCGATGGCCTCCCTTTCTGTGCGCGAACTTGCGCGCATCTTCCAGCAGGTGGCCCCTCAGGTCGACGGCGTTTTCTCTTGGCGGAGCACCAGGGGCCCGGTGCACCGCATGCTGATCTCGTTGCACCGCATAGGATGGCGAGCCAAGCACTTTTCCTGTTGGGAGGACGACCTGCACAGAGAGGTCGATTTGTTATACTCCTCTCCCGCCATGGTTGCCTCGCTTCTGCGCCAAGGTGTGCAGAGGCATCACGAACGGCGCATGGCGCAACAGCTTGCCAGCTTCTCGGGGGACAGGGTTTGCGTTGACCCCATACGGACTATGGTTTGCACTAGTAGGAGATTTTCCCCAAGAGTAAAATATTGTATCGCGAGTTGTTTTTGCAGCGGGCTTTGGACCCAAGACAGATTTGCGGCTTCCGGGTACCAAAGCGACGGCATGTGTACACTTTGCGGGCAACCCGACTCGCTTTTTCACAGAATTTGGAAATGCAGCCACCTTGATGTTTCACAAGCTCGGGAGGATGCGGCTCTGAGTGGTGTTGTTGATGAGGCTTGCGCTTCCAGCCCTGAGGATGTTTTATTTTGGACAATATTGATTTTTGATCACCCTGCATCGTCATGGCCGCCGCCGTCTTCGGAAATCTCACTTGATTTTCAGGATCTTGACGGCGCCCCTCTTGCGCCGGAGGCCTTGGGGGACCTGCAGGAATGTGATGTGGTTGTAGACGGCTCTTGCTCTAGACATCAAATTCGGGACCTCTCTCGAGCGTCTTACGCGGGCGTGTGTTTAGGGGAAGGCCTCGCAATCCGAGCCAGATTTCAAGGCGTTGTCTGGGATGGTCTTCCACAGACCCCTCAAGCAGGTGAACAGCTAGGACTGGCCATGCTGAGTTGCTTGGCTCGTAGTCCCTGGCAGCCCCACTCTGATTGCCTAGGCGCTGTCAGGCTTCAAGGTTCGGACCTAGTCAGCCAGCTTCCACACCGACATATGTATGCTGGCGCTCGCCGCGCCGCCATGCAGCAGGATGGTAATAAATTCGCTTTGCCTGCTAAGCACACCCCTGCCCACCGAAGCCTCGAAGTTATTGAAGCGTTGCCGATGCATGAAAAGAGGATTGGTCTGGGTAATGATGCCGCGGACCGCCTAGCCAAGCATGCGTTGCTCAAGCATCCTCAGCCCTCCGCGGACGAAGTCGCGAAGGTTGATTTGGTTATGGTTAAGTGCAGGGCGATTGCGAGGGTCATCGCAGCTACATTGCCGCTCTTCCCCAAAGTGGAGATGAAGCGGACTCCCCGCACACCCAAGCCCAGACGGTATGCTTTTTTGGACAGGTGGCACAATTGGGCTGTTGTGGAGGAGGGGGTTCTGCAATGCACGCACTGCCTTTCGGTCAACTTTGATGGTGAGCCATCTATGTTGGGATGCGAGGGCCTTCCAACGTGCTACAAGAAGTTAGCTGGGGCAGAGAGCAGATTTGGGCACCGCCTTTCGGTGGCCATGACCGATCAGTAAAAGCCTCTTGTCTTCTGCTTGCACTGCGGGGCATACACCCAGAAGAGGTGCAAGAACCTGCACAAACCCTGTCCTCCCGCCGCCAGCCATAACGGCCAGTACGCTCTGCAGCGAATCCGTCTGGGATTGGATCCCCGCTACGTGTCGCGTGGCAGTGTAGGGCCAGCTCGACGTAGCGATGCTTCAGCCGTTGTATCTTTAGCTGCTTCGGCCGCTTCCAGTGTCTCTCTTGTGCCGCTCCGCCCACTCATCACCAATGACAGGCTGGAGGCCTTGCGTGCTCGGGTGGCCGCTCGGGAGCAGGCCAACTCAGAAAGACATGCCGGACAGGCCGCATGATATGTTTGTTGCTCACGTTACGTGAATGTTCTGCCTCAAGGGCCTACCTGAGAAAAAATACCTGAGGACGGAAAGTCCCTGCAGGCGACCGTCGCGCGTCTATAAGCGGCGATGCCCGAGTGTTCGCCTGATGTATGCGCGATGTTGCTGTTGCGAATGAGGAGGTGGATGGGAGTCTGATCGGAGGAAGTAATGGTGCAGGTGGTGAAGGCGGTGAAATGTGGGGAAGCGCTCAGGCCCGTATCTCGGTCTCACTGTCTCGCGAATTCTTGCTCGCGGTATGAACACGTCGGCCAGATTTCACACTAAATATCATGGTTGTCCTCTTGGTTGCCCCATCCGACCCGCTCGCCCCTACTCCTATCGATCTCGATGATGTTATCCACCATGCTCGGTGTTCTCGACTCGACTGGATATGTGAACATTGACTTGGTGAACTGATGTCCCCTTTCTCTGATTCCCCTCCCTGGCTCTTCTCTCTGCGCCCGGTAGACGAAAGGCCGCGCACGGTGCGTGTGATTTTTGTTGCCATTGTTGATGCATTTTTGTTTGCCCACAATTGTCGTCGTTGTAGCGCCGCTTGTGGGACTGTGCCAGAGCAGATCCACGCCCGCGCCCGAGCCGCAGCGAGACGCCACCGATCGGTTGCGGAAGCTTGGCAGATTGAAAGGCGTGTCCGATTGCTGTTCCCAGGCTCATCCTCATTCGGAATTCGAGAGTGCTGTCTTGTCCCTTTGTGACTGGGGTCCAGGCTTTTCCTTCTTTTTTTATTCTAGCTCTCGCGGGGCCTGCATTGTTACTTCGGCTGGAGGTGATCTCCCGCGGTAGTGCCGATGTGGCCTGCTGCCTCCTGTTGCGTTTCATTATTTTCCTCCGCCGTCGGCAACCGTCCTGTCTGGACAGTCGCCACGGGAGCGCGGCTGGTCACCCGACTGCGCCGCCCGAGGCTTTGGGACTTTTGAAACACCCGAGAGAGCCATATACATATATATACATGTGTGCAAATGCATACATATATACATGCAGGCATACATGCGTACATGCATGCATGCACCCACACAGACCTAGCATTCCCTCATGTGCATGTACATCTGCACATGTGTGTATATGTATATGTACAAATATGTGCATACATGCTGACATCCGTCCATACAGACATAGATACACGCATACGCACATACCCAATCATGCATACAAGCGTACATACGTACATACCTACAGACCTATATACCTACATGCATGCATGCATACATACATACACCCATGCATACATGCATTTTGCAGCATGCATATGTACATACATGGTATATATATATACATGTGAACGTGTGAGAGCGTGCATATATATATATATATACACATATACATATACATATACAGATATATACATACGTGTGTGTGTATGTGTGTAGATCACCCAAACGACGTCGATGATACAACAGCTGACTGCTTGGGCCCGCGTAGGCAACGATCGTCAGACTGAGCAACTGTCAGAGTGGAAGCTGGTGGACGGAAGGGACGGCGAAATAATGGGAGTGCGAGCGGGATGGAGTGGAGGAAAGGGCGGGGGAGACGGGGAAGGGGAAGGGGGATGAGCAGAGAGATGCGGAGGGGAGAAACGTGGTAGGAAAAACGAGGGAGAGTTATGACTAGGCCTCTCGCGTCAAGGTGATGAAATATTAGCGTGGGATCGGCGTTGTTTGTCCTGGGACCCTGGGGACCTATCGAGAACGGGGCTCTAGTGACGGGTGCACCCAACGCTTCGCAAACGCTGTTTCTTGGGGCGGACCTGTCTGTAGTCTCATCCTCCCCTCTTCCTTCCCCTCTTACCGCTGCCATTCCTGGGAAAGGCCATTGCAGCTGCATGACAAGTGCAGCCTGTAGACTCTACTGGACGCAGCGAGGGGTCAATATATAGCCGGCCGCCTCCACAGGCTCGGCACGGCGTGTGGCAGACGCTGAGCTTGAGGCAAGGCACCCGGTTCCTCCCTCCTGCCCTCACCGGCTCCATTTGGTTTCGATGCTTTCGCGCGTTGAGGGCGACGACGAGACAGAGGGAAGGAGAAAGAGGAGGAGGAGGAGGAGGAAGAAGAGGAGGAGGAGGAGGAGCAGAAGGAGGAGGAGGAGGAGGAGGAGGAGTAGGAGAAGGAGGAAACGGGGAGGGGGAGGATTGGGAAAGAGGGGGGAAAGAGGCGGATGGTCAGAAATACGTCAAGAGCAAGAATAGGAGCATGAACAGGAGGAGGGCGCAAGGGGAAAGTTGATGAGGCCTTGGACGAGAAGGAGCCAGGGGCAGTTCTGTTGCGCTCACTGTTTGTTGTGGTTTCCGATGTGACTTGCACTACGGTCGAGCCGAATTGACATGCGAAGCATTAAATCTTCAGTCGGCTCCGCTTCGCTTCGCTATTGTTTGTTATGTGTCTTACGGCATTGACGTCATGGTCGCCGTCAGTGACACAAGGCGAACATCATCCGCATGCTCAATGTTTTCTTGTCGTATCTCATCTCGCTCTGGTAGACCTTGCTCGGCATCCTTTCAGTGCATTCTGCTATCCCGCCTGATCATATCCTCCCTCCTCCTAATCTTCCTGCCCCTCTTCACTCTTCGTCTGTCGGAGGCCCGAACTTCTCAGTGCCTAGGGATTTGATTACTTACTGGCTGTCCACCCCTCCTCTTCCGATACTCCTGTCCTTGTTCTTCGTCCTTCTTCTCGAACTCTTCTCTTCCTCCTCCTCCTCCTCATGATCCATTTCCTCCTCGTCCACCTCTCGGGTGCTGCAACTGCTTCTCGTGTTTCAAATCGTACGTGCCACCCTCGTTTGCCTTCTCGCCCTCGTCTTTCGAGTCTTGTTTCTACACTTAGCCGTGGTCCTCCCACAGCCCCCCCGTTCCGAGCCCCCCCCGTCCCCTCACTCTCCCTCCCCTCACTCTCCGCCCCCTCCACCCACCCACCCCTCATTCTTCCCTCCTCCTCCTTTCCTTTCCACTCCGTGACAAATGGCCGGCTACAGTACGAAACCGTCGCCCCGCGGCTTCGTACATGCCCGCTGCCGAGGGGTTGGCCCGAGGCGTGCCGCCACAGCTGCTCCTCACCCTCACGATCCTCCTGTGCGGCTGCGAGCTCGCACACCCTTCCGCATTCCGATGCCCCGTTGGGGCGCCAGCACGCTGCGCGCCCTGAGTGGGCGTTCGACGTGCGTCGAGACGACGGCTCCCCCGCGACGTCGGCAGCCGCTCCCCCGGTCCGGCGCCGAGTACGATCGTGTGGCTGCAGAGCCCTTCTCCTCCTCCTCTTCCTCCTCCTCCTCCTCCTCTTCCTCCGCCTCCTCCTCCTCCTCCTCCTCCTCCTCCTCCTCCTCCACCTCCTCCTCCTCCTCCTCCTCCTCCACCTCGCGGTCCTCCAAGATGGGCCTGCCTGTATCCCCAGCGCCCTTCCCTGTCGCAGGAGCTGCAGAGCGCCAACGGCAGCACGGGCTGCGGCAAGGGCTCGGTGCCTTCGCGCGCTGGCGGCGCTGCACCTCCCTCCAGGCGTCGTTTTTGTTTGTCCGCCCAGACGGAGCTGGAGCCCTGGATGACGACGACGGCCCCTCGGACGAGTGCCTGCGCTGCGTTTGCCGCGAGGAGTTCGACAGGCTCAAGGACTCCCTCGGGGCCGAGGTCAGCACCACCGTCCAGGATCTGGCACGCGCTGCCAACGAGGAGGTCCTCTTTGCCCTCGAGGCTGTCCGCCTCCAGGCATCCGAGCAAATCACTGGTGGTGATCAAGCCGCTCGGTCTGCGATTCAGCCCAAGCTCGGCGAGTTCGGCAGGCGGTATCGAAAGCAGCTTGATTGGCACGAGCGGCGACTGGATGAACATGCGCGTCGGCAGGATGCTCGAGCAGGTGCGTTGGCGGCGCTCCAGCAAGAGACGGCTGACCTCAAGAAGTCTCTTGCGGTCGCGGAGGCAAGGCCCCCTGCCCTGGTGGCGGTGCCGCGTGGCCTCGACGCGAGCCTGACAACATTATCGTGGTGGCCATCGCCCAGGTCCCTACCACGGTAGCGGCGGTGTCGCACTCGGTCAAGGATTGGTTGCACTCTCTGGGCTACAAAGAAGACGAGTACCAGATCGAGCTATCTGGCGCCGCCCTTGGCCCGCCCTTCCTCATGAAATTCGTGGGGGTGGTGGGCCTCGCTGCCCGCGAGGTCCAGCGCATTCTCGGGCAACTGTTCCAGGACGGGCAGTGGAAGGAGTTCTCGGTCGAGGTGGCCGGCAGCCCTGCACGTCGGCTGCAAACCTTCACGTTCACAAAACCTCTACGTTCACAGAATTTGTACGTTTATGCACACTGCCCGCCCCTTCATCGGGCTCTTCGTCCTGCTCTGGCTCGACCTTTTCATATACCGCTCCTTCGCACGCGGGGGCTGCGCCCACCTTCGCTGGACCCGTTTGCTACCACTGATGTTGCCAATGCCAAACTTCTTGACTGTTGGCCTCTGACTCGCGAACAGACTCTCAGCTGTGCACTCGCGGGGGCGAGATCTACGCCGGTTATTCAGCCACTTCGCATGAGCGGTGTTGAGCGAACGTTGTTGGCACCCGTGGACTTTGATGTCTCAGTGCGCACGGACACGATCGACTCTGGCTCCAGTTATGCGACCACGGACGGCAGCGCGTATATGTAATGCAGATTTCTTCTCGTCCCATGGCTCCTGAAGATGTGGCGCCTCATCATCCACCTCGGAGATTGGACTCTGACGCGGAGTCAGAGTCGCCCTGACTGGCACCTCGCCTCGTCCCCGAGTCCGAGGACATATCAGATGGCGGAGACAGTCCCGTGCGTTTGGTTCTTCGGTTGTCACCTTCGACACCTGATACGTTGACTGCGACCCCTGAGCGGGTGAGGCGCCTGGAAGATCGCCTCTCGGATTCGGGCCCGCCCCGTGAGTCAGTGGCATTGTCCGTCCTCTCCTCCAGCGCTCTCTACTTCTCCGCGGCGGGCTACTCGCATTCTTCCAACGTCCTCGTCGGCGAGTTCGGGTGCATGTCCTGCGACTCGTGGAACATCCCATCGTGGGCGACCGTGGCGCCAGCGGCCAAGAGGCCGACTTGAGGTCTGCGCGGCTCTCGACACGTCTGCGCGGCTTCGGAGTCTGCGCGGCCTTCGACAGGCCCGACGCCTCCGTCGAGGTGAGCAGGGGCAAAGGACCCCGGCAGGCGCCGCGGGCAATCGCGAGAGGGGCCGACGTGAGGTCTGCACGGCCCTCGGCGCGCCCGGCACCTCCATCGAAGCGGGCAGAGGTCCAGGGCCGCAGCAGGCCTTCCGGCCTGGCACGCCACCGCTGCGACGCCCAGTTGCCGGGCGCGTCGACGCGCGCGGGCGCGCGGAGAGAGCGAGAGCGAGAGCGAGAGATCGGAGGGAGGAGAAGCGACACCAACACCACCAGGGGGCCCGCCTCCAGCGAAGAGTTCCACGATGTCTCCCCCGAGCTGGAGGCTGGGGATGTCTCGAGCGAGAGGGGGAAACCACACCACCAGGGAGACTCCCCTTCCTCCTCGCGTCTCCTCGCCCTGGTGGTGTTGGTGTCGCCTTCCCTTGTCGCTAGAGAGAGGGGGGGGGGGGGGAGCGGCGCGCTCGTCTTCGGGCGCGCCGCGGAGCCAGGGGCGCGCGCATCCCGCGTCGCGCGCCGCGGCGCGGGTTGCGGGGGCGCGGCCGTCAGTCAGGACAGGCTGCCCCGCTCGTCCGTCTAGGGGGGCCTGCGTCGCGTTCGACCGCGCGACCTGGGACGCCGTCGGCTTCGCCGCGCGGCGTGGCGGCAAAGAAGGCCCCTCCTCCTCATACGCCTCCCCATAGGGTGACAGTCAGCGCGATGTTAGGACGACGGCGTTCGGACAGCTGTGGGGCAGCAACGGCATCCTCACCAGCTCCCCACATCAGTTGCTTCTCGGAAGCTTTGGTGAATGCGCGGCACACGAGTCGCAATTTCCGTTGGCGGACCAGAGCGTGCACTGCACGCGGAGCACGGGCGGACATAATGCACCACATGTTATATTACCGGGTAGTTTGGGTTGTGTCCATCTAGTTACTTTGTACGGTTCGACATGTGCCATGGTTTGCACCAGTGCGTTCCAATACTAGCCTGGAGTATCATTCTCATGGCCACCCTGGCAATTGCTCTGGCAATGCTGAGACGTAGCGATGCCCTGGCTCATCTTGCAGTCCTGCGCGCACCCGCGGTCCCTCCACATCTCGGCTCCCGTCTGATTGCCGATGTTCGACGCTTGTGTCCAGATGTTTCGGCGTGGCCTGCACCAAGCACGTATGGTGGTATTTCCTGGTGGTGCGGTGGCGGACGGCAGCTCCGAATGTTGCCTTCCCTTTTGCACTCCTTTCTTTCCCTTTCGGTTGGCGCTACACCTCGTGATCCTCCCTCTTCTTCCTGCTGCTCAGCCTGGAGGCGCCGGTGTCTGGTGCTGGATTCGGCGGTCGTCAGTGGTTGGAGCCTCTTTTTGTGGAGTGTCCCGTTTCATAGTCTTGTTCACCTTGTTCATGGCGCTCTTCCTCCTGCCCTTCATGTTCCTCGTCCCTTCCTCCTTCTCCTCCTCCTCCTCCTGTTCCTCTTCCTCCTCCTCTTCCTCCTCCTCCTACTCCTACTCCTCGTCCCCTCCTCTTCTTCGACGTGCGCCTGTCACCCCATCCTTGCTTTGGCCGCTCAGGCATCTCTCGTCCGCCCTCCCGTCTGCTCTTCCACGGCTCAGGCTGTCCCAGCTGATTGTCCCAGGCCGTTCATCTTGAAAGCTTGCCATGACCCCTCTCCTCCTCCTTTCCCCCGCCCTCGCCCCCCAACACGTTTCCCTGTTGCTCCTCCTCCTCCTTCTTTCTTCTTCTCCTCCTCCTCCTCCCCCTCCTCCTCATCCTCCTCCTCCTCGTCCTCATCATCACCATCACCATCACCATCGTCATCATCATCATCATCATCATCATCAGCATCATCATCATCATCATCATCATCATCATCATCATCATCATCATCATCATCATCATCATCATCATCATCATCATCGTCATCGTCATCATCGTCATCATCGTCATCATTATCATCGTCATCATCATCATCAGCTTCCTCCTCTCCTCCTCCTCCTCCTCCTCCTCCTCCTCATCATCATCATCATCATCATCATCACCATCACTATCACCATCATCATCATCACCACCACCATCATCATCAGCATCATCATCCGTTCTCCTCTCCTACGTATCCGCATTTCCCCTCCCGCTCTTCGTGTGCTTGGTTCACTTGCTCTCCCAAAAGCCTTTTCCTCCCCCCGTCGCCCTCTCATTTCGGAAGGCAGGTTGGGGTCAGGAAGGGGGGGTACGAACACGTGTTCCAGCCTCCCGTCGTCCTAGAGGCAAACCATCCAGTCCTGCGAAGACTATTCCAGGATCGTGACCAACACTCAACAAGCCACGGAGGGCGTCTTGACGGTGAGCTGAGCATACTCTTCGTTTTATTTCATGAAGCGGGCACGGAGGATACTAGGTAGCAGTCGCAGGAACAGAAGGTGGGAGGAGGAGAAGGAGAAATACGACGACGATGGTTCATGGAGATTGGTCGGCCTCCAGCTGCAAGCAGAGAACATTCACTCCGGTTGGCAACAGCCCTGTCCATTTGCAGTCTGCGCAGTTGCTTGCGCTCCCACACCTTATTATCCTCATCCTCAATAGCATCCCCCTGTCCATCCCCGTGGCCTCCCCCTCGTCCTCTCCCTGTCCTCCTCCTCCTCCTCCTCCTCCTCCTCCTCCTCCTTCTCCTCCTCCTCCTCTTCCTTCTCCTCCTCCTCCACGCCCGAGCCATGGTCGCAGCGGTGTTGCCCACTTCCGCGCACGAGCGCAAGCGGGGGTCAGCGGATCCGCCATCACATGTGTCTCTATGTCGTTCCAAACTGATGTTGCTAGATTCTGCATTTGATGTTTGTGCCCCCGCAGCATGCCAAGACCTGTTTCCCGTTAGGGGAGTTCAGTTTGTTTGTTATCCCTGTTGGGTCTCCCCTTCGGCCCCCTTGGGTTCCTGGTCACGGGTCGCCCAGGCTCGCGGCTTGGTTTGTCTATATGCTCGCAGCCTCTCTTCGCGTTGGCGATGCCCCGCTCGGGTGCACGTTTCCACTTCGCAGGGTTCAGTGCCGATCGTTCATTTCTGTATTGCAAGATGTCTTGCCAAGCTGCCGCGCACGCAGTGGCAGCATTCGAGCTAGTCGCCTATTTCTTCTTGATCGGCATCACGCCTCTCCGACAAGTTGCAGCTGCAGCGATTGTCTCCGCTTCAATCCGTGTCCCATCTCTTCCCGGCCAGATTGGCGCGCGCCCTCTCGGGCCCTCGAGACCCCCATGCCTCCTCGCCCCGGCTGATTCAAAGCAGCTCTCAATCGCGTGAGTGGCCGCTTGTTGTTAAAGGTGCAATGTCAGTTGTTATTATTCTCACTTGCCCGGGCGCTTGCCCATGAGTTTTATGTCGCGCGACTGTGTCGCATTGCGCGTTTCATGCATGTTCGGTTGTATCGGGCGGCGATGAGTATTTATTCAGATCCGATCCTCCGCCCCGCTCATCGTCTTAGATGCCGCATTGGCAGTTGTTTCTTTGTGGCATGTTCACTCGCACCGCTCAGGCGCGAGCAGCGCGGGGGCGGGAGTAGATGGTAGTTAGCTTTGGTTGCCCTCATCTTCTTGGGATCGAACCTGATGACGTCTACACCGCCTTCGATCCCGCCCCAAGCCACGCGGCCACGAGTCGCCCAAATTCAATGCTCAAACACTCCCTCCTTATCGGGAACTTCGCGAGGTTGTGGATGTTTTAGCGACCTGCCACGTCATCGGTCTCGCGGGGACAGGGCATGTGATGTCTTGGGCTTTATCCGGCGGGTCACTCAAAGTATGTTCGCCCAAAATCGGCAAGCACGTTGCCTTGCAAACGGCCCGCGCCGGCCACGAGAACACCTCGCTCGCAATAGAAAAAAAAAACGACGGCACGAACACGAGCACGGGATGCACGTTGGCATATGATGCGAACGCGTTCAAGAGGAATCGAATTGTTCATGCGTGAGAGAGGAGGAGAGAGGAGGAGGGAGATGAGGAGCTATCAGATATCGATAAAATGCGCATGATGTGTTTTGTTCCATCGTTGCATATATGGTTCCTGCTGGTGAAGTCAGGCACGGAAAGAACACGCTGTCAGTCGATTGTTGATTGGATCGGTGTGGTGGTCTCACAGTTGCCTGCACGGCGCACCCCCATTTTCGCCACGCAGCTCTCTGCAGGATACAGGAGGACAGCGGGTACGCATGACTAGCTCCAGGCGGTCCGATGCTACGGGGCCCCAGGAGCCGCTACAGAGGATCCGCATATAGTGCCCCGGCGCATGCCACAGTGAACGTACGGGGCCACATACGTCAAAAGAGCTACGGCTTCTCGGGCCGACTACACTGCATCACCCGAAACCGCATTGGCACCAATTCAGACGCTTCGCGTTTGGCGGCGCATTGGGCGGCACTTTCAGTTATCAGATGCGACGGGCAATGCCGGCCACGCCCCCCGCAGTGGTGGATATATTAGCGCGCTCCTGGCATGAAACAGATATGGGCTCTACAATGACATGGGGTCTCGACAAGTACATGCGAGCTCGGTTGAAAGGTGGAGATTTGCACGACGGGTTTGCAACCGACATAGGCGCGTGGGCGACGCATCCAAACGCGACGCAGCAGGGCCGCGGGCCTCAACTGGAAGGTGAGACTGATGGACTGCGACACTTCTTGCAGCGCGGAAAACACGAACGCACGAGAGATACACAGGCTACAGTCGTGGAAATGCCATGACTGGCATCAGGCGCGGGGTTTCTCGAGGTCAATTGCTGGACAGACGAATAGACCAAACGCACGGGGCAAGATTGGCCAGAAGGGGCGCCTGCAAGCAGCACCGACACGCGCAGGCAGCTAACAGGAACATCCACGATAACCAGTGCCGCTGCCAACTGGCACGGCGGAGAAGAGGGGGCATCTCTCTCGACGGGCTGGTCTTCTTCAGGACCGACCTTGACCGACGGGGGATGGGCGAGGCGACGCGGGCCTGGAAACGTCTAGCATGGACGAGAGGCAATCGCCGAACAACCGCTCAACTCGCCACGCCCAGCTGCGGGCCCCGGCCCAGGCGAACCCAGGCCAGGGCTCTCGGAGGTCAGCGCGCGCTTTCTGAACATTGTTTTTTTTTCAAACGGGCGATGCATCGCAAACCCAAGGCGCCGCAGCTTCGGCGCAGCGCCCTGGGCCCAACGCCGCTGCTGGCGTAAGATCGCGCGATCCAGGTGCCGGCTTTGGCGCAAGCCCTGAGCTCGATGCCGCCGACGTTTTGCCATGAGAAATGGCGTCAGTTGCGGGCGGAGACGGCGCGCGCCAACCAGGAGATAGCGCGCCCATGTGAAGATATATCTATATATAAAACTATGCGTTGATTCGGACGGTCGGCCAGATCACGGCGCGCGCGCGCGCGGGGAGATTACGCGAGCGCGCTGCGTGGACTTCCCGCCGCGGTCTACATCGCGCGAGCGGCGGCCACCTGCACTGGCCGAACTTCGACGCTGCGAGCGGCGCGGCCCTTTTGGACATCGGCGCCATCAGCTCTTTATATTCGGCGCTACTGGAACAGAATGCCACATGCATGGGCAGTCAGCTCGGGCCGCAGCGTTCGGAAAAGGTAGCGACACGGGGATGTGCGACGCATGGCGAGCCTCGCGTCTTCTCGACCCAGCGGGAAGGGATTTTGCCGGGCAGATATCGGGGGGGGCGGGGGGGGGGCGGCGCGGGTCAGACAACTCGGCGGGGCCCAAACCAACGCGGCGACGTAAACAAACTACAATGTAAGTCAAAGATGCGAGATGGCAGGTGCCCTGACAATCTGGCGCGGTCGCCCCCGTTTTTTGACCGGGCCAACGCTTTCGCTTATGTAGGCCATGTCGCCGTAGATGAGGTCGCCCGGGCTTCGCCTCCTGATGGGGGCGCGGAGCTACGTCAACAGAGGCATCCATGAGCATGTTGCACTCCGCGAGCGGGCTCGGGATATCGCGCATTGATGTTTTCGGGGCGCGGCGACGCGCGGGGGCGGCGGCTGCCCGAGACGCCCAAAAACGCGCCGGGCCCGCGCGAGGACAGATGGATAGCAGCAGCGGAGACGGAGGGCGACTGCAACTCCTCTCGCGCCCGAGACCCGACCGATGGCGAGCTTCGGGCACGGGGCGCGCGCAGACGACATGTTCAGGGCAGGATTGCGCGAGGGCGCGAAAACGGCGAGCTCCAGCGAGGAGGAATGGGATCGCGCGCTGCGCGCGCGTCAGCACCTTCATTGGGCCGAAGCACGACGGCGATGAAGGAGAGGCTCTACTTCGGGCGCGCGTGGCGTTCGAGGGGAATCCCCGCATCTGTTCGAGGCAGTCTGGAGCTCGGCATCACTTTGACTGGCATGAGACCTGGGTGCTCAGGAAAAGACAGAGGGCTGCCAGGCCGTGGAAGACTCGCGCGGGGAAGTCACGGGCTCGCCCTTCTCCGAGGATAGTAGATAAGATCGCGCCCCAGGGGGCGGCGGCCAATTCGTTTCTGATTAGAGGGAAGGCCTGGCTGATATCTGAGGGGGTGGCGGATCATCTCGACGAATTTCCTGCCCAGCATGCGAGAGTTCCATTGGTGGGCGAGGGCACTAACGAGCAGTATCACGAGGAGGGCATCATCGCGGAGAGTCGCGCGCTACCTACCTAGGATGCGCGACGCCGACGTAGCCGGCACGCGACACTTCAAGTCGAATGTCACGGAATGGGCGCCTCCGCTTGCTCCATCGCGTGGCTCGCTCACTCGGGCGCCGCGCCGCGTTGCCAGGAGTGTTGACGGCAGAAGTAGAAGTTGTTTCGTCAACCCGCTTGTCGGGGCAAACCTCGCCGCCGTCGCAATCCGCGGCTCGCGCAGATCGGAGATGACCTCAACGAACTAGGGCGTCGACGCAGGCCTGTCCAGGGCGCCCCTCGATGGGGGGGCGGCGCGCGATGTCCGACGGGCTTGAGGGGCGTCAGTTCCCGGGAGATACGACGACAATCGGAGAGCGCTCCTGGGCTACCCTTCCGGCGCCCGATCGGTCCCAATGCGAGTTTGTGGCTGACCATCTATACTTCGCGACGCAGCAACTTCGGGCCCGCGAATATTTGGCCCATAAAACTCGCGACGATTGCCGACGCGCCCCCGTCACCGACCAGCGACCTTGGCGCCGGAGAATATCCGCGAGCGCGACGAAAGCCCGATTCCACTGCTGGGCCAGGGGCGCGACGAACCCACCAGCATGCGCCAAAAGACCTGGGCCTCCGTCGGCACTTTTTTCGGCTCTGGAGCATCCTCAGATGCGGGCGCGCCCTTCCCGTGATCGGACCCTCTCGACGCGGACAGCTGCCCGCGCACGCATCCGCGATCGCTGTCTCGGGCGAGAAGATGGAGGCGCGGTCGGCCCAGAGCACGTCCGAGGGCAACCGGGCGCCCCGGCGCGGAAAAACTCCCCCATCATCACCCCCCTCTTCCCCCTCAGTCGCAGTGGGCGCATTCCCCTTCCCCCCTCTGCCCCTCGTCCTCCTCCTCGTCCTCCAGCCCCCGCATCGTCAAGCTGAACGCTCAACATATTGCGAAGGCCTTACGGCCAGCGCCGCCGACCCTGAACGCGGGACATCCCCCACGACCCTCACTGGCGCCCCCCCAAGGTTGGAGCCCTGTTGTCCACAATGAGGGGGCGGGAGGAGAGGTCTTGAGTCCTCCCTGCTCACAGGGGGAACTTTGTCCGCCTTGTGCACATGGGCGATAGGGGAGAACCCTTGAATTCCCACAGAGGGTGCCCCCCCTTTGTCCCCTCTGTCAACAGGGAGGACCGTAGAGGGGAGGGGGGGGGGCCTTGACTTCCCCGTGTCCACAGGGGCGGGGCATCCTTTGCCCCCCTTTGTCCATAAGGGGGGACTGGCGGCGGGGGGGCGGTAATCTGACCCAGGGGCCCCCGCAGGGGGGCCCCCCCCCTTGCCGGGGACGGGGGAAAGGGAGGGGGGAGAGGGGGGACATTGAGTTTCCCCCGTCGACAGGGCCCACCTCTCGTCCCTTCGGTGGACCAGAGCCTGGGGGGGCGACCACCCGTGGTGGTTTTTTGTTCACATGAGGGACCCGGGGGGGGGGGGGGGGGGGGCAAATTTGATCCGGGACCTTGCCTTTTACCTCCACCCCCCGTCAGGGAAGGGAGAAACGGAAAGTAATCGACTTAACTGCAACGTTTTCTTCGTTCCTTGCTCAATTTCTCTGGGACCGACGACGACGACGAAGACGACGAAGACTACGACAGCCTCTCACATACGCCAGAGGGTTGGCGGGTTTGTGATCCTCGGCCTCATCATCCCACTCATCCGCATCCACGTTCTCCTACTCGTCCTCATCATTCTTCCTCAGCAGGGCTCGAGATCTTCCTGGTGCCTGGCGGCTGCCAGCCTGGCCAGGAGCAGTTCCGATGCGGGCCCGCCCCCATCCCCGCACCGTCTCGTTGCCAGTACCATCGCCATGGCTCCTCCGCCTCCCTCCCATCACTGAGAGCACGATCACCATCATCATGATCACAATGTGTTCGTTCGCCCCTCCTCCGCATCAACTTGCACTTGCTTGCACGCCAGGTGATATGGCAGAACAGGTGCCGGTCGACGATGATCTGGATCTTGATCCGCTGGAGGAGGGCCTTTGGCCGCCTTCCTAATTCCCGCCGCCATCCGCCTCCTCCTCCTCATTATCACAATCACCATTTGCATGATCAGCATCATCATCAGTTGCATCATCATCAGCAGCAGCAGAATCAGCATCAGCATCATCATCATCATCATCATCATCATCATCATCATCATCATCATCATCCTCATCCTCATCCTCATCCTCATCCTCATCCTCATCCTCATCATAATCAGCATCAGCACCATCATCATCACCATCATCATCAGCATCAGCATCATCAGCAGCATTAGCATCACCATCATCAGTACCATCATCGGCATCATCACATTCCTCATCATCATCATCAGCACCATCATCATCATCATCATCATCATCATCATCATCTGCATGATGATCATCATCATCATCATCATCATCATCATCATCATCATCATCATCGTCAGCACCAGCAGCTTCATCATCATAATCAGCATCAAAACCAACCTCCGCAGCATCATTATCAGAACCATCATCATCATCATCATCATCATCATCATCATCATCATCATCATCGTCATCGTCATCGTCATCGTCATCGTCATCGTCATCGGCAGCAGCAGCATCAGATTAGCATCAGCATTAGCACCATCATTAGCCGCATCAGCATCATCATCAGCATCATCATCATCATCATCATCCGCATGATCATCAATATTATCAGCATCATCAACATCATCATCATCATCGTGATCATCATCATCATCATCATCATCATCATCATCATCATCATCATCAGAAAGAGCGTGTTCTACCGCTGCTGGCGGAAAACCGGGGGGGGTCACTACCGGTTGGAACCCCTCCCCCCCCCCCCCCCCTCCGGAAAACCGGGGGGGGTCACTACCGGTTCGAACCCCTCCCCCCCCCCCAGTTCATCATGGAAAAGGGCGGGGGTCACTACCGGTTCGAACCCCCCCCCCCCCCCCTCCTCGAAAACCGGGGGGGGTCACTACCGGTTCGAACCCCCCCCCCCCCTCGAAAACCGAGTGGGGGTGCGGACAGTGGTGGGGACGGTGTTGGTGGGGACAGTGGTGAGGGGACAGCGGGACAGTGGTGGGGACAGTGGGACAGTGGGACAGTGGTGGGGACGGTAGTGGTGGGGACAGTGGTGGGGACAATGGTGGGAACAGGGGGGACAGTGGACAGTGGTGGGGACGGTGGTGGTGGGGACAGTGGTGTGGGGACAGTGGGAATGAGGTGGAAACAGTGGGACAGTGGAGGGTATAATGGTGGTGGGGACAGTGGTAAAGGCGGTGGCGAGGACGGCGGTGGGACAATGGGACAGAGGTACAGTGGGGACAGTGGTGGGGACAGTGGGGACAGTGGTGGGAACAGTGGGACAGCTCAGTGGGACAGCGGAGGAGTCAGTGGGACAGTGGGGACAGTGGGGATAGTCGGGCAGTGGTTGGGGCCGTGGAGACAGTGGGGAGAGTGGAACCGTGGTGGGAACAGTGGTGGGACAGTGGGGACAGTGCGACAGTGGTGGGGGCACTGGTGGGGACAGTAGGGACGGTGGTGGAACCAGTGGGGACAGTGGTGGTGAGGACAGTGGTGCTGGGAACAACAGTGGGGGATGTGATGCGGACGGTGGTAGGGACCGGGAGTCGTTTGCTGGCGGTGCGTGGGGGGGGGGGGTCGAACCGGTAGTGAACCCCCTCCGGTTTTCGAGGGGGGGGGGGGGGTTCGAACCGGTAGTGACCCCCCCCGGTTTTCCGGATCCGGAGGGGGGGGGGGAGGGGTTCGAACCGTAGTGACCCCCCCCGGTTTTCGTGGGGGAGGGGGGGGGGGTTAGGGAGGGGGGGGTTTTGCCGGGGGGGGGGGGGGGGGGGGCAGCAGGGGGGGGGGGGGGGGATTTTCGGAGGGGGGGGGGGGGGGGCGACCCCCGGGTTCCGGACGAAAAGGTTGGCAATTTTCCACAGTAAAGCGGCGGTGGATCACGCTCTCTCCATCATCATCATCATCGTCATCATCATCATCACCAGATTCCTCCGTTTCTCTTCATGCTTATCAAACTCCTCACCCGTAGTCCTGTTTCCTTGTCCTTTGCGCCTGCATGGAAAGAGACCCATTGTGTCTGAAGAGCAGCATGTGAAGAGGCTCCTGGCGCGGCAGCCGAGTTTACGAAAAGCAGCAGCCGTCGTCCGCTCCTCCTCCTCCTCCTCCTCCTCCTCCGCCTTCCGTTTTCTCTCTCTCTCTCTCTCTCTCTCTTCCTCCTCCAAACTTCCTTTTCCCCCTCCATCCTCCTTCTCGTTCCTTCTCCTCCTCCTCCTCCTCCTCCTCCTCCTCCTCCTCCGCCCCAGGTTGCCACTTGGGCTCCGCGCCCCAGCTGGGGCGAGGCGCGGCCTTCCAAGTGGCCCCAGTCGCCGGCCGCCCATCACACGGGCGCTGGTGCATCTCATCATTCCCGCGCGCGAGCGATCGCGCTCCCCCGCCTGGCACAGGCGTGAGCGGCGGCGGCGCAGGGAGGCCCGGCTCCTCCTGTGCCTCGACGCTGCCAGGCGCCTCCTGCAGGGGCACCACGGCGAGAGTACCTTGCAGGGCAGCATGGCGCCCAAGCCGCGGCGCGCCGAGCTTGCCAAGAAGTGGACGCGCAGGTTCTGCAAGCATCCCCGCACTGGGGAGGAGTGGTGGAATCGCTCCGATGCGCCCAGCTGCGGCCAATGTGGGCGCTCCAAGGGGGTGTGCTACAAGGCCGACTTCCAGCCCAAGGGAGCCTGCCCCTCGAAGTCGGCCAAGGCGGCGGCCGCTGGTGGCAGCAGCGCAGCACCGCCCTGGCTCACCTCCAAGCTGGAGAAGCTGCAGGCCGAGCTCGACAAGTCTCGCAAGGCCGAGGCCCAACTCAGGGCCGCCCAGCAGAAGCGGGACCAGGAGGAGTCCATGCAGGTCGACGGTGGCGCGATGCCAGCGGACGACGGCAGGCTCCGCAACACCATCAAGGACCTGGACAAGCAGCTGGCCCAAGTTGCTCAGTGGGAGGGCCCTCACTGGGACACGCTGCGAACCAAGCTCAGGGCTGATCGCGAGGAGTGCCATCAGAAGCTGCAGATGGCGAAGCCGCCGCTGCAGCGCATGTCGGCGCTCACGCAACGCATCAAGAAGCACGAGGACCTCATCGCCAAGCAGGAGGCCACTCTCGAGGAGCACGTGGCCGCCCTGGCCAAGATGGAGGAAATGCGGCTTCATCACCAGCAGCTGCTGCAGGAGCAGAGGGCCGAGCTGGTCTCCCTCAACGCCGAGCCCCACGAGCTCACCAAGGCGCAAGTGGTGCCGCCTGCGGAGCCGGCCCTCCAGAGCCCGGTGCTGCCGCTCGTCGGCTACGATGTTGCCAAGCTTGGGGAGCTCTTGCACAGCCTGGGCATGGAGCAGGCGCAGGCTAGAGATCTGGGGCCCAAGCTGTTGGCCCGCATCTCGAAGTGCACCACCCAGCAGGTCCTCCCCCTGGGCCAGTTCGCGCTGCCCCCGGCAGGCGCTGCGAGCGGAGGTGCCGCCGCTGTCCCAGCCGCAGGAGGACCCCCAGAAGGCCAGCCTAGAGAGGGGGAGCCCGCACTTGGCTCCGCCAGGCCCTCGCTGGACGCCCTCGAGGAGGCCCCGCTCCGGGACTTCCTCACCAGCGCATTGCCTGCTGGTGCGGAGCTGCCTTCTGATCTGCCTGGCATGCGAGCTGCTGCCAAGCGCCTCCAGCAGGCCGCTGCTGCCGCGCCGTGGGGGAGTGGCCCCTACTAAGGCGGAGCTGCCTCCTCCTGTGCCAGTTATGCCAATGATGACGGTGATGATGGTGGACACACCGACTCAGCAACGTGAGAGGGCTCTCCATGTTTTTGCCGTGCTGCCTTCGCGTATTCCGCAGAGGTCGCATGGCTCCAGCTGGCGTGTCTGGAGCGATGCCGCTGGAGGCGGGCGGCAACCCAGGGGCAGGCCTCGGACTGCACCACCTCGACGACCTCGGCTTCGACGGCTGGCTCAGATCACGCTGGCGGCGGTGTCCGGCCAGGTCACGCAGTTGGCCACGACGCAGCTGGACGCCATCTTCGAGGCGACCTGGGGGAGCAGGTAGGGGACCCAATGCTGCCTTTCCCCGCCTTGGCCCCCCCTGCCCGGGAGGCTCAGGAGGGCATCCTCTCAGATCATTGCGACGACATCGTCGACAGGCCGAGTCCGGGGCCATGGCCGAGAATTGCGGCCACGTTGGGAGGACACTCTGTCGAGCGGCCTAAGGGCTTGCTGGTCACGGCCGACGGCGACAATTTTGGCCCTGCCAAGGCTTTCTTGCAGCAGGCGAGCCCCCTGGTCAAGGCGGTGGCGGTTCAGGAGCATCACGTCTTGAAGTGCAACCTCCCGGGGGCCGAGCGGGACCTCAAGGATCTCGGCTACCACGGCATCATGGCCCCTGCGAGCCCTACCACCAGCGGAGGCAGCACAGGCGGCGTAGCCGTGCTAGCGCCGTCGCACGTGGCCATCAGCACGCCGCCTCCACCGCCCGAGGGATGGCCAGAGGGCCTGCTGGGGGTCGTCGCCGAGGCCCGCACTGTGGCAGCCCATGCGCATTGGGGGCCCCCTGGAGGCCTGGTCTTGCGGTCGGTCTACCTCCACACGGGCGTCGGCATGGACAAGCAGAACACTGATCTCATCCTCTGCCTGGCCCGGTACCTGGTGGTTGTGATGGCGGCGGGACTCGACTGGGTTGTCATGGGCGACTGGAACATGACCCCTGCCGAGCTTGATCAGCGCTGGATCAACACGCTGGGCGGGGCGTTGGCAGCCACCGAGGCGCCCACCTGCAGGAAGACCCTGCCTGGGCGCGTCATCGACTACGCGGTCGTCAGTACCAACCTCCTCAGTCGCATCGACAGGCCTTGGATCGACGAGGCGTCGGCGCTGCCCGTGCACACCCCTGTGGCATTGCCGCTCCTGGCGGAAGACAGGGTTCTCTGGCAGAGGGTACCTGCGGAGCCTGCGCCCCTCCCTGAGCTCCGCCCTGGTTGCAGTCGGCCGCCGCTGCATTGGCACGACGTCCAGTGCGCTATCTTGCAGGCTCGCGACGATGAGGCGCTGCAGTGCTGCTGGGATCTCGTCCTCGAGCGCCTGGAGGCCGAGCTGCTCGATCGCTGGGACCTGGTCGACGGGCCCACTCGTTGCTGGTACGAGGTCCGAGCGGGCCCCACCAGTACGAAGTGGGTGCAGGTTAAGTGGCAGCCTCCCCACAAACGCCTCCGGCCCACGCCGCAGCTCCTGGCCTGGACCTCGGTCGCCCGCTGGGCCAAGCATCTGCTTCGAGCCCGTGCCCACCTCGCCAAGTTGGTGGCCATGGTGGCGGCAGACCCTGGACCGCGGCTGGCCAAGAATCTGGAGGCGCTCGACGCCTTCTTCCAGCGCGTCGCCACGGCGGCTCACGTCTGGCAGGCGGTGCCGCGCGAGGTGGACCAGCTCTTCGCCTTGGGCCCCAGTCTGCTATGCCTCGCAGGCTTCGAGGACAAAATGATGGACCTCGTCGCCACCTTCAAGGACCTCAGCGCTAAGCACACCAATGCCGTCAGCCAGCGCTGGCGCACCTGGGTGGATGCGCCCTTTCGGTCTGGGGCCAGCGGTGCGCATCGAGCGACGCGACTTCAGGAGCGGCTGGAGATATTCGCGCCGACCAAATCGGCGCAGCCTCACGAGTTAGCAGACGCCGAGATGGACCAGTGGGAGAAGATTTGGGGCTCGCACGCGGCCAGTTGGTTGGCCCTGCCCGGGGACGCGGCCTCCTGGGAGGCCTTGCCGCCCATCTCAGGCGAGGATGTGCGCGAGGCCATCCTCGCGTTCCCCTAGCGCACGGCTACTGGTCATACACGCTTGCCTCCTCGGGCATTGTGGTTCTTGTCTGTCGAGGCGTTCCAATGCATGGCGCTGCTCTTCATGCGACGCGAGGACCTTCTGTGCTGGCCATCGGACCGCATCATCAACGCAATGGTCCGCATCCCGAAGGCTGATGGGGGCACGCGCCTCATCGCACTGGTCTCGACCCTGGTCCGCGTCCGGGCCCGCGCACGCAGGCCCTTGGCCCGCGACTGGGTCAAGAAGCACCCTCGCCCGTGCATCTATGGTTTGAGGAAGGGCTTCTCCTCGGCCGACTCGGCCTACAGCCACAACATTGATGCCGAGATTGCCCACCTCCTGGGGCTCTCCAGCGTCACCGTGATCCTGGACATGTTCAAGGCCTTTTGACAGCGTGTTGCTGGCGCCTCTACTTCAGGAGGCGCGCCGCCTGCACTTCCCGCTCAGGCTGGTCTGGCAGCTGATTGGCTACTTCAGGCAGCCGCGCGTCATTCGGGCCTACGGCAGCTGGGGCAGGCAGGTCGTCACCACCCAGAGCATACTGGCCGGTTGCACCCACAGTTCGGCGCTGCTCACGGTCCTGCTCTTCCGTGCCATCACGCGCCTCCAGCTGATCTCGGATGCCATAGTCCCCCGTGGGCTCATGTATGACCTTACTTTGCAGTGGATTGGCGAGGCCATCGGCGCGGGCACCTTGGTTCTCCATCAGGCGGTGGTGCAGTTCGTGAAGGATGTCGAGCCCCTTGGCATGGAGATCAAACCTACCAAGCCGGGCTGGCTGGCCACCGCGGCATCCGCCCAGCGCGCCTTTACGCCATTAGCGCGAAAGCTCATGCTCTCGCAGCTCAGCAGCGCCCGCAACCTCGGACACGACACCCCCGGCCGACGAGTCATCCGCACGGTGGCCAAGCGTCGCCTCTTGGCGTTGGGTGCACGTGGCCATCGCACTAGTGCCCTGCATCGTGCAGCAGGGGCCCGCATCCAGACGCTTTGGGGGACTGGGCTGTTCCCAGCGGCGGCCCATGGCGCAGCAGTTTCGGGCACCCCGGACGATCACTTGGGGCGGCTCCGACACACGGCGGCCTTGCTCTGCAGTGGCAAAGGCGGGGTTGGAGCTGACTCCATAACGCCCCACCTCGCCACGCAGCGCGACCAGTACTTTGACCCGATTTTCGACACGACGATCGCCCCTGTCTTCAAGTACTGCGCCTTCATCTGGGACGCCAGGCTGCCCCTGGCGCAGTTGCAGCGTGCCTGGTGCGCCCTCGAGGCAACGTGGCTCCTGGAGAAGCCCACCTGGAAGGGCGTGCGGGGCCCCCTGGCGGCAGCGTGGATGAGCCTCCTCCGCATTGGGTGGACCATGCACTCGAGCCTCATCCTGGTCACCGACCAGGGCGCCATCATCTCCCTCTTGCGCACGGCGCCGAAGGACGTGCGCCACCTGCTGCGGGAAGGCATCCGCAGATGGCAGGGCAGGCAGATTCTCCGCCACCATGCCGATTTGGTGCCTGGCCAGGCCGAGCTCTGGCATCGAGCCATGCGCCGGGTGCTGGCGCCGCCCAGGGCCGCGGTCAAAGGGGCGCACGCGGGCAATCTGCGCAAGCTCTGGGCAGGAGCCTCCTGGGACATAGCCAAACGCCACCAGCATCATTACGCGGCTTCTCCCATGTGCCCCCACTGCCCACAGCAGATCTGCACTCGAGGCCATCAGTTCTACGAGCGCCAGCACACGCTGCAGCACCACAGCGACGACTCCATGGAGCCGCTTTCAGAGGAGCTGGAGCGCGTCAGGGAGAGGCTCGCCACGACGTGCCACCTCGGCTGCGCGGACGCCAGCTACGACCGGTTTGACTTGGTGGTCGGGCTGCCGCTGATGCCGCCCATGCCGCCCGCCCCAGTGGCCACTGCCGAGGTCCACTTCTGGGGCGACTGGGCCTCGACGACTCGCTGTAACCACGCGGTCGCTTACACCGACGGTTCTGGCTACGACACGGAGTGGCCCGAGCTCTGCCGTTGTGGCTGGGCGGTCGTGCAGATGGGCCCTGACAACATGCCCGTCCGTGCCATTTACGGCGTGCCGGCGGGGCCGAGGCAAGTTGTTGGCCGCGCAGAGAGAACTGCTATGCTGATGGCCCTCAGGCATCTCCCTTGGCTCTCCCACATCGTCTCTGACTTGGAGTCGCTGGTCAATGAGGGCAATGCGTGGGACGACAGCCTGGCCAGCTCGTCCAACCAGTGCGCTGACATCTGGCGGGCGGATTTCGCTGCAGCAGGGCCCTGTCCACCGGGCTTCTCCTGGTGCCCTGCCCATCGCGATATCCAGCACTTCTTGGACGACAGGGCCGCCGCCGACTTCTACGGCAATGCGTGGGCAGATTTCTTTGCAAAGGTCGGAGCTCGTGAACACGTACTTCCAAGAGCTGTGCATGATGCATTCGCGGCCAGGCTCTCGGATGCTCGCCTCGAGGGTAAATTGTTTGCCTGGCTCATGAACAGGCTGGGTGAGCAGCAGGAGGAGCTCGACGCGCTGGTAAAGAAGACCAGGCGCCCCGCAGCGCCCGCGGCACCAGCACAGGTGGCGCCAGGGCGCCATCGCCTCCGCCCTGTCTTTGGGGGCTTCTGGCGCTGCGCCTTCTGCGCAGCCACTGCTAGCACTGACGAGGCCAAGCAGCGTCTCGAGCGCGCGGTCTGCGCGCCCTCCCCGCTGCAGAAGCTTATGGCTGCTGCCTCTGCCGGCTCCTCCTCATCCTCCTCCCTCCCATCGGCTCGGGAAGAGGCCATCGCGATAGCCCTCGCTGCGGCCCATCGTTATTTGAATTCTTTTTCTGACGGGGCCACTGACGCTCGGGCGTCTAGTGATTCGGGGCTCGGGTCTGCACCGTCGCGGGAGGACCCTTCGGCTACTACATCTGCTAGTAGCGCATCGTGTCCAGCGGCTCTTGTCTCTGGTAGGCCAGAGGCTCCAGAGGTAGGAGGGGCTGGTGTTTCAGGCGCTGGGGATTTTACCATTCTTCGGGGACACCATTTGGTCTCTCAGGGACTCTTCGTGTTTTGTTTAAACTGCGGGGGGCAGTTCCTCAACCCGGCAATCCCCGACCCTGCTTGCCCATTGCAAAGGTAGGCGTGGAATTACTCAGGGAAGAACCACGGCCCTTAATAACCTTATGGCCAAACGTCACCCGCGAACGGGAGCCCCCCTAAGCGGTGACACCCAACGCGGCTAAAGGGTTGCCGCGTTTTCCGTCTTTACTCGTGGCTCCCTCGTTTCTTCGGCGGAGTTCATTGGGCTTGCGTCTCCTCCTCCTCCGCCCCAACCGCATCCTTTTCCTCCCCCTCCTCATGCTCTCCTCCTCCTCCTCCTTCTCCTCTTCCTCCTCCCCCTCCTCCTCATGCTCTCGTCCTCCCCTCATCCCCCTCCTGCTCCTCCTCCTCCTTCTCCTTTATCCCCCTCCTCTCTCCCGCTGCCGTCCGCGCCCCCCCCCGCAGCGCCAGGATGCTCGCCCTGGACAAGGCGGAGGGCAAGCGGCGGGTCGAGGGGGCGACCGCCGGCCGGCGGGCGGGTCGCTGGCACGGCCCCGGGAGAGGTGGGAGGAGCGGGGCGGAGATGAGGGGCGCGGAGGCAGGGCGGGCGGCGGGGTGGCGCCTCCCCTCGTCAGCCGACGTGGTGCAGTCTATGTGGTGCACTTGACTACCCTGCACCGCGCTTGACCACCTCCACTGCTCGCGCCAACACCCCACCCACCCACCCGCAACTTGGTTTGCAAAATCTCTTAAGCCCGTGACGGTGGGTACCAAATGGCACTTGGCAACGACACCGACGCCGACGACGACAGCGACGTCGACGACGACGCCGACGACGAAGACGACGACTACGACGACGACACCGACGACGACGACGACGCCGACGACGACGACGACGACGATGACGCCGACGACGACGACGACGATGACACCGACGACGACGTCGACGACGCCGACGACGACGACGGCGGCGGCGACGACGCCGACATCGACGACGACGGAGACGACGCCGACGCCGACGACGACGACGACGACGAAGGCGACGACGACGAAGGAGGCGGGAGGACGACGACGGCGACAACAACGACAACGACGAGGGAGGAAGGAGGGGGGTGACGACGCGAACGACGAAGGAGGGAGGACGGCGACGCCGACGACGACAACGACGAGGGAGGAGGGAAGACGACGACGACGACGACGACGACGACGACGGCGGCGGCGACGACGGCGACGAAATAGGAGGGACGACGACGAGACGCCGACGACGGACGACGACGACGACGAGGGAGGAGGAGGAAGGACGACCACGGCGACAACGACGACGGAAACGACCACGACGCCAAAGAGGACGACGACGACGAACACGAGGAAAGACAGAGAACGACGTACGACGACGACGACGACGACGACGCGGGAGGAGGGAGGAGGAGGACGGCGACGACGACGACGACGACGCAAGAGCGCGCGCGCACGCTTTTGTTGAAAATCCGTGTTGCGAAACCTTGTGTTTTTGTAGGTTTTTTGGTCGCGATTTTGAAATCCTTCCGAAACCGATGGGTTTTGAAGGATTTCGGAATACGTGCGCGACGACGCGCGCGTCTGCATTTCGTCCCGTTTTTTTGCAGAGGATTCTCGCGACGGCACACGCGCAAGGGCGTTCGACAGATTTCGACATGCGCGCGCGGGAAGCCCGTTTGGTAGCATGTTGTGAAAATCCTGAAAAACTTATGGTTCTCTTAAGATGTCGCAAGAGCTCGCGCGTAAGCTTGTTTAGCAAATCAGTGTTGCGAAACCCAGTGTTTTTGCATGTTTTTTGGGAACTCGATTGCGAAACCCTTCCGTCACCGATGGTTTTTGAAGGATTGTTGTTTTCCACTAGGGAACCTCAGGGGGACCGACCCCGGCCCCCCGGGGGATATTGTAAATTCATATGTAGAATGGGCATGTGGTCAGAATCGTATATGATCTGCATACCCGAAAAGGGGTACGGATAACTCCGGGGGGGGGGTAGAGTCTATTCCCTTTTCAGAAAAGAGAATTAAGGCGTGGCGCAGTCTATGTGGTGCAGTCTGTGCGGTGCCACGTTTGTGGTGCAAGCTGGGTGGCGCAAGCTGTGTGGTGCAATGAGTTCCTGTTTGCAATGAGTTGTCAATTCCACTGCTCGCGCAACCACGCCACCAACCCACCCGCAATTTCGTTTGAAACCCGATGTGGCGGCGATTGCGATGAGTGTGCGGCGTTGGCTGGTGCATTTTTGCGGCCGCGCTAGCCCGCGCATGCTCGCGCCTGAAGCGGCCAGCTAATTTGGCGCGGCCGACGCGGCCGCGGTGGCGCTGACCGCTGGGCTCTTCCCAGCGGGCACTCAAGTGCGAGTCGGCGTCTTGGGCGCACGCGGTATCATGGCAACGTCGACAACGGTAGCCGTGATGATGATGATGATGATGGTGATGATGGTGGTGATGATGATGACGATGACGATGATGATGACGATGTGGATGATGATGATGATGATGATGATGATGATGGCAGCGATGCTAGTGACGACGGTGACAACGACGACGGCAAGGCCAGTGACGGTGCCGATGCGGATAACGCCGACGACGATGAGGGCATCCTCGCGTCGGTTGTGAATGTTTTGGAGGTTGCTCGACATGCGCGCGCGGCCGACGTGCGAGAGTGGCCCGCATGGTATTATTTGGGACGGATCGTACCTCCTCCCCCCCGCTCAGCACGCGCGCGAAAGGCGCTCGAATAATTTCGACATGCGGCGCAGGACGCCCACTTGGCAGAGTGTGATGCAAATTTTGGAGCGCGAGCAAAACCGTGTGTGTTTATATGTTTGCGGGACAACCGATTTAGAAGCCCATACGAAACTCAAGGTTTTTGAAGAATTCCGGCATGCGCGCGCGACGACGCGCGCGTGTACACTTCGCCCCGTATGGTGCAGAAGGTGTTTTGGAACCTGATGTTTTTTGTCAACGAGAGCGTGTGCTAGATTTTCCCAGAGGATGACGGGGGGGATACTGGCCTGCTTGGGAATGTACGAATTCAGATTTCGCATGGACTGTGAGGCAGAATCACATGTACATTGTAATCAGCGAAGGTGTCCCGTTAATTCCGAGGGGTAGATCCTATCACTTTTCTGGAACGGAGAATAGATGTGGTGCAATATGTGCGGTGTTGTGGTGCGATATGTGCGGTGCTATCTGTGTGTATCTGCGAGAGCGAGACTGCAGTGTTCGGGACGTATCGAAACAATGTCGGGCCACGCACGTCGCACACCTGCGTAACATAGAACGGGGGACAGAAGTGGAGGAGGAGGAGCAGCAGGAGGAAGAGGGGGAGGGTGGAACAAGGAGGATGGACAAGGATGGGAAAGACATCTTCTTCACGCTTCGCGTATCCGCACCAGTGCAAGGGTTCAGTGGGGTCTCGCTACGCTGCCGACCTCCACGGTGCAAGGACTTCGGTATGTGTTGCTTTGTGCGCCCGTCGGTTGTTTTCTCTTGCAAGCACTTCGCTTCCGACATGTGCCACTGTTTTACAAACAAGATGTACTGCTGTTTGCAGTCCTATCTGTGACGAGGTTGCCCCTCTTCACCCCTGCGCTGACGCGATGCAGTTGTGTCGCCACGGCACGGACGTCCTCGGGGTGTGCCTGTCGGTCCTGCTCGGCTCTGACGGTGCCTTTTGCCGATTCACACCGAGTGATGATCTCTGCGTGTTTATGATCGCGCCGCGGCGCCATTTTGGCTGCGCTTACTTGCTGGTCGCCACCGGGATCTCCACGCCACCGGGTTGGGAATTTCGTTTCTGGTTCTTCTTCTGAGTGGCTGCCCGCGCGTTCGCTTCGCTTGCCTGTCTTTTCTTGCTGCCTAGTCGCGGGCCGACTAGTGTTCGGACGGCTTTCGACCTGCTTCGCAAACCCGCTGACCCAAAAAAATTTCCGCACCAGCCCATTCAGAGACCTTGCCCCTGAGAGTTGACGGGAAAAGAGGCGAAGAGGCACATATACTGAAACAGAGTGGGCAACCATGGAGACCAGAGAGATCTCTGGGAGCAAAGGGGGGTGCCTTGGAGGGCCTCTTCGGGTCATCCGTCGGGCCCGCGCGAGGGCGACGGACGGAGGAGGAGGAGGAGGAGGAGGAGGAAGAAGACGATGTCGACGGCGACGACAACGACGAAGACGATGACGACGACGAAAAAGACGACCACGACCACGACCACGACGACCACGACCACGACCACGACCACGACGACGACGACGAGGACCACGACGTGAAGGAAAAGGTGGAAAACGAAAAAGAAGATGATGAGGGCAAGGATGAGGACGAGGAGGAGGAAGAGGAGGAGGAGGAGGAGGAGGAGGAGGACAGCGATGACGAGAACAGAGCCTTGAAAGTCGCCTCTTGGAGCCCTTTCGGGACTTTTTAGGGGGATATTGTGGTCCTCTTGGGGCTCGTTTGGGGGTTCTTTGGGCTCTCTCGGGGCCCTCTTGGAGTCCTCTGGGGGCTCTCTTGGGAACCCTGGTGGGCCTCTTTGGCCCATCTTGGAGGCCATCCTAGAGGCCATCGATCAAAAGGGGGGAGCCTCGATTGGCAATCCCCCGGGGGCATCAACATCGCCTTTGGGAGCCCTCTCTTCGGACGGTCTTGGGCCGATCTTGGGCGTTTTGGGGGCCGCTGGGGGGGCATAGTGGGCCCCTCTTGGGGCTCTCTTCGGCCATCGTTAAACAATCTCGAGGCCTCAAAAAGCACATCGGTAGCGAAAAGGTGACAAGGCAACCATCGTTGATTTTCTTCAGGTGCTTGAGGGACTGCGGCCTCCTGGGGTGACCTGAGGGGCTTCCGGGAACACATGAACACGTTTTGTAACCTTCATCGTGCTGTTTGGAGGTGTACCGGAAGTTATATTGAATCACCTTTGGGCACTTTGAGTCAATTTGAAACCCACTTGGAGCATCGGAGGCCTTTTGGGAGCCATCTTGGGCCATCTTGGACGCTCCGCTAGACCCCCAGGAGCCCACGCCAGTCGCGAGAATTGTTCACATCGCAGCCCCTAGGGAGGCGCGAGTCCCCAGCCCGCGTGCGCCTCCACCCCGTTGGACCACCCAGGAGCACACGAAAGTGGCGACAGTTGCGCACTCCGCAGCCTCACAGGAAGCCGCGAGGTCTCGACTGGGTTCGCGTGTGTTTCCACTCCATTGAATTTTCCGGGAGCCAGCGAAAGTGGCGAAACTCGCACACTTCGCGGCCCACCCGCGGGGGAGCCACAAGGTGTCAGTTGGGTCAACGTTGACCACAAGAGCATATGGGCAGCACTGAAGGCACAAGGGGTCCAACCTGGATACGTTGCACTACTCCAACAGCTCTATAAGGAACAGACAGCCGCGGTGAGGACAGACGTCAGCAGCAGACCCTTCAGCCCCCTGCGGGGCACGAAGCAGGGAGACCCGCTCAGCTCCCTAGTCTTCAACGCTCTTCTACAATACATTCTTGGACCGCTGGTTTCCGACTGGCAGCAAAAAAGGAAGGGAGTTGAATTGGGATTTGCGGGCACCGCCACGCTGACCAACCTATTCTTCGCCAGCGACGTGCTCCTGACCAGCCAAGCTCCCCCGCGCCTGAAAGCGATGCTTGGCGACATTGCGCGCGCGACGAGGCTACGCGGGCTCGGATTACACCCTAGCAAAACCAAAATATTGAGCAACCAGACGTGAAGGACCGGAAAGGCGAGCTCACGCACATCACGTTTCCAAGACATGGATATGGAAATCGTTCCATACGAATGCAGTATCAAATACCTTGGCCACTTGATCAGCTTCCACGAACAGATGGAAACGGAAATCCACCACCGCACGCGAGCTGCATGGGCATCACCCACATGTCGCAAGCAGGAGCTGACCAGCAAGCACTACCCATTGGCTCACCGACTCCGACTTTTCAACAGCACTGTAGCACCAACGGCGTTATACGGAGTAGAGACGTGGACCCTCACGGAGCCTTTTACGGCAGCATCTACGACGGACACAACGACGCATGCTTCGCATGATCATCAGGACGCCACGGAGGCGCACAACGAAAGAAGCCAGCGCTCACAGCGGCCAGGGGCCGAATCTCGACGGCGCGAACAACGAAACACAAGACCACGAAGACCGCACCAACGCACTAGCGACGACGCAGAGAGCAGCCCATCACAGTGTGATGCACCTGACAGGCCTGACAAGCACAGCGAAGACGGTGAAGGCACCACCGCAGACGAAATGGAACCATGGGTCGACTTCATCCAGCGAGCGACACGACGCGCAGAGCACCTCATGAATCTTCACCACATTGACACATGGGAGACGCTGCACAAACGGAAAGTATGGCGCACGGCTTCACGAGTCGCAAACCACAACCGGACGAGGTGGACATGGCGAGTGCTGCGCTGGCACCCAGTGCTCAACCCGCGCCAGCGGGGACAGGCAGCACGGTGGCCAAAAGAAGCGCTGGGACGACGAAGTCACCACTTACTTACGTCAACGCAGACCAGACCTCCACCGACCGCCCACGCAAGCCCATTCGAAAGGACAACCGAACGACATCACATGGACGCAAACAGCCCAAGGCACCGAAGCATGGACAGCGCTCGAGCACCACTTCACCGACCTCACGTCGACCAGCACCCAGGACTCAGACCAACGACGTAAAATCTCAGCGAACGCCGAGACGTCTCGCCCAACCCGCGCCGACACCGACACCAAGGACTTTCTTTTCCTCCTCCTCCCCCTCTCCTCCTAGTTCCCTACCTAGTCTCTGCCTAGAAGGGCTCTTACTCGGAGGCTTAAAGGGCCGGGCAGTGGAACCCGCCCCTGGCGGTTCCCCCAGTATCCGCCCCGCGGTTCCCCCAGCTGCGCCCCTTTAGCTTAGCTTTGCTTATCTCATCCTAGCTTAGCCTAGCTTAACGTAGCTTAGCCTAGCTCAGCCTAGCCTAGCTTAGCTTAGCCTAACTTAGCTTAGCCTAGCCTAGCCTAGCTTAGCTTAGCTCAGCTCAGTTTAGCTTAGCGCAGCGCAGCATTCGCATAGCATAGCATAGCACAGCACACCATAGCATAGCATAGCATAGCGCAGCATATCATAGTGATGTATAGCATAGCATCGCATAGCATAGCATAGCGCAGTATATCATAGCATAACTTAGCTTAACATAGCACAGTGCAACATAGCATAGCGCAGCATAGCAAAGCATAGCATATCATAGCATATCATATCATAGTATTGCATAGCATAGCGCAGCATAGCATAGCATAGCATAGCATAGCGCAGTCTAGCATAGCATAGAAGGAGGAGGACGGCGTTTACCGTTACTACTAATATTGCTCTCCTCGGGGCTCCAACTCCCAGGTCGGGTCGCTCTGGGATAATGTTTACACGTCTCGCACTGCATGAATCCAGACACATCAGATCCTAGAGGCCATGGCCTCACCCACCTGGTCTGCTCTAGGCCCGGACGCTGTCCGCACCGGTGGTCGCATCGCATCGGCATCGCATCCACCCCGCAGGACTGCCCAGGAGGACAAGAAAGTGGATACAACTGCGAAGCTCGCAGCCCCCCCATGGAGACGCGAGGTTCCGGCTGGACCCGCATGTGCCTTTAGTCTGCTGAGCCTCCCAGGAGCCCACGACATTGGCAACAGTTGCGCACCTCACAGCCTCCCCAAGGAACCGCAAGGTCTCGACTGGGTTCGCGTGCGTCTCAATGCCGCTGGACTTCCCAGGAGCCCCCGAAAGTGGCGACAGTTGCGCACTTCGCAGACACCCAGGGAACCGCGAAGTCTCGGCTGGGTCCGCGTGTGCCTCCACATCGCTGGCCGTCCCAGGAACCCACGAAAGCGGCTACGCGCTCGCGCTTCGCAGCCACCCCAAGGAGACGCGAGGTCTCGATCGATTGGGTTCGCGGGTGCCTGCAGGAGCCCACGAAAGTGGCGACAGTTGCGCATGTCGGAGCACCCCAGGGAGCAGCGCAGGAGGAGGGGGAGGAGGAGGACAGGAGGAGTGGAGACCATTGTGCTCTATCCACAACGAGAACCCAACACAGAAGCGCACCCAACCCTTTCTCCAGCAAGGCGACCATTCATATGAACGGTCTGTACATCGCTCACTTTGCGAGCTACGCAGCAGTCCAGAATCATCCGCCTGACATTGTCGGGCCACGCGCGTCGCTCACTTGCGCAAGAGTGGACCACTGAGGACAGCGCTATGCGCTACGTGACGTTCGTGCGTTCCGCGTTCTGTGATGCAACAGCGTCGCGCGCAAAACGACGCGACGGCACCGCGTGCCATGTGGGCACGCGCCACGTTTGTGTCCTGCATTCTGCCGTGCTTCCCAGGAGCCCAGGGCACAGGCGACGGTTGCGCAGGTCGCAACCCCCACAGGAGCCGCGAGTTCTCAAATGATTTGCGCTGCCTCACCCTTGCCGTGCTTCCAAAGATCCCGCGAAAGTGGCGACAATTACACAGTTCGCAGCCACCCAACAATGGCGGGAGATCTCAAGTGATGTGCTCTGCCTTCACTTCCGCCGAGACTCTCAGGAGCCCACGAAAGTGGACACAGTTGCGCTGTTCGCAGCCACCCACCCACGGGGCCGCGCGGTCTCGAAGTGATCTGCGGTGCCATCCGCCCCGCTGGGCGCACAGTTCGCAGCCACCCAGGGGCCGCGAGGTCCCGTGTGGATGCGCGCACACGTCCATTCCACTGGACCTTCCAGGAGCCCACGAAAGTGGCGACAGTTGCGCAGTTCGCAACCACCACCACCGACCCACGGGGCCGCGCGGTCTCTGCTGGGTCCGCGTGTGTACGATTCGGGATGAAAAGCCGGCCCTGGGGAGGAGGTCTAGACCTTTGGGAGCCGACGTTGTGAAGAATTCGCCGCGACGGAGTTTTGGAGGGAAGAGCGAGGGAGGTTCGCCATGCAGCAAGTGTGTCTTGAGGTTTCCACCAGGAGCCGCCTCCCTCACGCCAGGAGATGGGGAGAAGAAGCGGGGAGGGGGAAGAGGACGAGGAGGACAAGGAGAGATGGCCGAGTGATGGTTCGGAGGGGGGGATGGGACCTCTTTTTCCTGGCAGCGAGCGCGTGGAAAGGCAGCCGCGAGGGCGCCGCTGCCCCAGCCTTGTGGCGGTGGGACCTCGTTGTCCCTCGACCGTTGCGCCGGACTCTGCTTCCTTCCTCTCGGCCATCCCTGCTCTCTTCGGGGAAACGTACGACTCGAGTTCGCCAGAGCTCGGGTTTGCCGGCGCTTTGTGACGGGCCCGTCCTGGATTTTGACGGTCCAGTTTTCGTGGGATGTTTGCAGCGGGAGTTCGTATCAAATTTCAGATCGGGTATTGTCAGTTTCTTGACGGCCTCGCCAGGTCCCCCGAACCCGAGTCACGCGTCTCCCTGCTCTCTCTGCCCGTCTCCATCCTCCTGACCTCCTCCGTCGCTCGCCGCCGGCGTCTTCTGCGACCTCCTCTGGGGCCCGCGGCCGCTGACCGCCGCTCGCCAGGCGCTGCTCGGTCTCGGACGGCGTTCTGAGGCACTGCTCCTCCGCTCCCCTACCACCATCCCGTCCCCGGCCGCCGTCGTCGTCGCCGTCGCCCTCGTCGCCTCTTCGTCCTCGTCGTCCTCGTCGTCGGCGTCGTCGTCGCCGTTCAGACGGCACTGCGCTTCCCACCGTCCCCGACCGAATGCCGCCTTCTGGTCTTCCCACCAGCACCTGGTCTCCAGCCCCCCTGCCCCCGACCCCATGCGGCCAGCTCCCCCGAGGTGGCCCCAGAGTCCCGCATGAGGTTCATTGATTAGGGGAGCAGCATCCGTCCTACCTCCTACCTCCTACCTCCTACCTCCTACCTCCTACCTCCTACCTCCTACCTCCTACCTCCTACCTCCTCCTCCTCCTCCTCCTCCTCCTCCTCCTCCTCCTCCTCCTCCTCCTCCTCCTCCTCCTCCTCCTCCCGCGGTGCCCCACCCCCCTCAGCGCCCTGCCCCACGCCTGCCCTGGCGCGCAGAGGGAGCCCGTCCCAGCTGACCGCGGCGCGCGGCGCGCAGGCGAGGAACGCCCAGTTCGGCGAGTCATCTCCGGAGCCGCCCCTCCAGAGGAGGGCCAGGGCCCCCGAAGCGGACCCTGCAGGACCTGGACATCGGGCGTCTCGAAAAAATCGAGACGGAGGTTTTTCGTCGTTTTCGGCCTTTCGGGGCCATCACCGGCTCGGGGCCGTCAAAAAACGACTCGGGACGAAAAGCTGGTCCCGGGGAAGCGGTCGGGAGGTCGAGGGCTCGTGTCTCGAAGAAACCGAGACGTCGGATGCTTGGGGATCCAGGACTTTGCAAGTTCCGGCCGGGGCAGACGCAGAGTAGAGCGCATTGCGGCCCACGGCGGCAGTTTTCTGGGGCGTGCTCACGCCTTCGTTTGTCAAAAGTCCTTGCTTGCGGGGCCCTGAAGATGGCAGGGAGGGAGGGGGGATCGAGGATGTAGTTCCCTGCGCAGTGCCTGCGCTGTGCTGTGCTGCATGGGCGCGTTTTGCTGAGCAGTTGGCTGCGTTTCCTGGTTTTCGGCTGGTGGGCGCCCGTGGGCGCCTCGGGCGTGGGTTGGCGTTTCCAGGCGCACACATTTGCACAAAATACATTGCGTCCCGTAGCTTGTCCAACGCTGCTTGCAAGCATCCGGTGAGTCCCCATGTCTGGCACTCCGTATGTTGCGCCACACGGATTGCACCACATTCGGCCACATGGTGTCCCACGAGCAGGTGACACGGTTCAACCTTCTGAACTGGGTGCTTCAGTTCTCGGTTGTGGTGACGTCCGATGACAAGGACGCGAAGAACGACAATTTTGATTTCAGTTTCACGCAGATGAAGGGGCTCAACATCTGCATCTCATGGGAATGTACCGACAATACCTGGGTATTGTATGGTGGGTTATATCTAGATGGATATCATGCGAGGGTATGGATCACGAGTTTCTTTCCATATGATTGGGGTCGGCGTCACCGAGACCACAATAAAGAGATGCATGCTTTACATGGCAATGGACCGTCGATGAAGCAGGCATTAGCACGAGCACTCAAGGCAAAGCACACGCCGCAGATGGACAAAAGCCGAGTCCTTACTATGCTGGAGGCAGCAAGTGTGGACAAACCTCAAAAGATGTATGATCACTTGAAGAAGTTCTCCACAGAGCGAATGGCCAAGATAGCAGCCATGCCCGCCAAGGAGATAGCAGATGCGATGAAGGTATGGTTGGAGGAGAAGCCTTACGGAGCCACCCCGCCAGCCAAGCCGCAACCGCCCAAGAAGCAGAAGGCTATGCCCCCAAAGTCAAAGACAGGCTGGCAGTACCAAGCGAGCCTCGACCCTGCTGACTGGGACATCCCTGTGAGGCGTGGCCTTCCGCAGGATTACGAGAGTATGAAAGCAGTACACCTTGTCACAACGGACGAGTTCCTTGAGCTCGCGCGTTTGGACTCATTTTGGCAAAGACCAGATCCTGCTGATGCTTTTGGATTCGTCTTGGCACAATCACCCAGTCAGGTCTCGAAAGAATTGTTCATGCTGTGTGGCCAGAGGGGTCTGGCTCCATGTATTACTCTCTTAGACGTGCCGCTCATATACGAAGAGAGACGCCATATCAAGCAACTGTACGTTTGGCAATATGGAGGATCGACTCAACAGAAAGTTGAACCAACCAGAGTGCCGACTGCTATTACATGTACACAGGATGAGCTCATGAATGTCGCGATCCTCGAAGAGCATGCTCCCGAGAAGATCTTCAAAGAGCTCCTCAAACTACACAGACAAGCAACGTCAGCCCGAGATCAGCGGGCAGAAACATCAGGTCAAAAAAGAAAGTTCGACACTATCCCGCCATGGAGAGTGCTGGATGCTGAATTGGCAAGTATCGTGAAGGCAAAGTGCAACGGAGGCGCAGATATGGACCTGCGCTGCTGGAGCGGCAGAGTCTTCAATGAAGATCTTCCAGGTCATCGTGTGGTATCGGGATTGTTCAAAGTATCAGCCACACGTGCGGTGCAACTACGAGCTGCGTCAGGACCAGATGGTGTTATCTTCCAACGCTCACGAGCAGGAGGTATTATCAACGCGGCCCTGGACGAAGAAAAGAATACAGAAGATTTTGTCCCGTTCCCGAAGGCCATCTCCCTGACGGATGCGCTCAACATGGTCACGGACCTAGAGGGCGGCCGCGGGCTAGGCTACAAGCAAAATGGTGCATTGTTCTTCAGAGTTGAGAAGTCGAAGTCAGGCCCAGCCTGGCAGAAGTTGCAGTCGAGAACCCCACCAGCGCCGACCCTCTACGAGATTTCACCGTTACCGAAGCTCGTCGAAGGGAAGCAGATCGTGCAAGAGATATCCACTCAGCTGGGGTGGAAAGCAGAGTTTGTTCATATACGTTCCAAGGGAAGAGGTGCTAAAGCTACGCCAGTTGTGCGTTGTCGAGCTGAAGGCCCCCCATCGGTCTCGGACCTCACCCTGGCAGGAGTAAAGGCAACAATCAACATGGTCAAGCAGAAGAGTGCTACACCAGCCCCATCAGCAACATCCTGGGCGGAGATGGTCACGAAGTATGACAAACCTGAGCCCAAGACGACACCGGCAACCAAGAAGACGAGTTTGGCCGCACAACTCACGCGACCCGCACCTGCTCCGCAGCAAGGTCAGCCAGTGCAGCAAACTCCACCACCTTCAGACACACCACCATCCACGCCAGGCTCCGCGATGCCCCCTGAATTTCAAAAGTTCTTGCTGGAGGCAATTGGACAGGCGGTGGCTGCAAACAATCAAAAGATCTATGCCCAACTTCAGCTTCAGGGGCAAGGTATTGCAAAGTGCTTCGAAGTTCTCCGCTCAGATGCAGGCTTATCCAGTGCTGAGAAGGAGCAAAACGAGGAGATTGAACGTCTGAGCAAAAGGCTCAAAGACAGTGCTGCAACTGACATGGATCAGTGATGATGCCCTCGCGTCGTCTGCGAGGGAAACAAGCTCCTGCAGTGTCTCCCTGTGGTCCTGCAGGTCTCGCCACTATCCTTTCTGCAAATATTACTAGCTGGAATACTTTTTCTGGCCGCCTTGCTCTCATGAATGCAGATGTCCTTGCGCTGCAGGAGACACGCCTCAATTTGAAGGAGCAGATGGCTTGTACTAAAGCCTGTGCTGCATATGGATACAATGTTTGTTTTGGTCACCCTGTTCGCCAGCAACGATGTCATGGAGAAAAGTTTCATCGCAGCACCCAGGGTGGAGTTGCGATCTTCTCAAGAACTACTATTACTGCAATGGAAAGTGGACGCAAGCACGGTGCAGCCAAGGAGTTGTATCTCAGCGCCCGCTGGCAAAGGCAACTTGTGATGCTGGGGGCCACTCCTGTTCACATCATTTCCATGTATAATGAATCGGGTAATGACCCATTGGTGCGTACACGCAACGACAGACTATTTCAGTTTGTATTCGAGGATGCCGAGGCCTTGGGCGACCAGCCGGCGATCCTGTGTGTGGACTCGAATACGACAATTGCACAGACATCCACGCTATCAGCGGCCCTGGCAACAGGGAGATGGCACGATGTTGGAGCTATGTATGGAGGAGAACCTACTTACGGCCTGGACCCGCGGTGGGACAAATATTCGGCAGGCAATCATGTTACGCGGCCCGATCTTATTCTGGTCAGTACATCAGCTCGAGATTCCATCCACTCTTTTCGCTTGCGAAGGGACCTGGGGATCAAGTGCCACCTAGGTCTGGAGCTCACGCTGAATATCACCAAGCTCGCAGAGGTCTGGCAGAGGTATCGTATGCCTGTGGCCTACCCCGTGGAGCTAGTCAAGAAGATCCCTGAGGAGGAAAACGAAGCGTTGGGCAAAGAATGTGTGGATGAGTATTATGACAGATTCTACGAGGCACTGGACAAAGAAGATGCAAACACAGCATGGTCGCTCATCGGACGGATGGGTGAAGATTTCTTGGAGAAACGTCTGGCGCATACCAACATCAAGTTTGATTTCAGGTACCATGGACGAAGCAAGATGCCAGCGCTTGTTGAGCAATCTGTGGTTGCTCCGACGTCGGCAAAAGATCCTGCTCGAGAAGGTCCCACAACATCTAAGTTGCGGCAGATCGAGAATGTACTCCACCGTCTCGCTGAGCTCTCAAAGAAGATTCACATCTACTTCCAGGGTACAGAGGGACCTTCACTAGAACACCAACTGAGTGCGCAGCGCCTGTGGGACAAGCTGCGTACCAACATACCACGTCTTCTAGCAGGACTGGGCAATCTACCAATCTACCAGGCAGGCTTCCGACACTGACCGAGATTGCATCTTGGCAGTCCTTACTAGACGAGAAGCATGCAGTCATTGTGAAAGAAAGAAAGCTTACACGTATAGCTGAATGGCGCAAACGTCTACGAACATCACTTCGCTATGAAGGGGGCCGTGACATGTACTCTTGGATCAAGCAGCGCCAATATCATTCACTCCATGCGGTACGAGGTTACCAATCCAATGAGATAGTCACCAAGCGCACTGACATCTTGGACCACATCAACCGCTACTGGAGTACGATTTTCAATAAACCTGAGCTCTGTGACTGGGATAAGTTCTTTTCGCGCTTTGGACGCTATATCCCTTCATGCCAGTGTACCATCACCGACATCACAGGCTCCAGGCTGCTCAAGCAATTCAGAAAAATGGGAATAACACGTGCTGTGGCAGCCGATGGCTGGCGAGTGGGCGAACTTCGATTGCTACCTCTAACCATCTGCGAGCTGATAGCCGTTGCCCTAAAAGGTATTGAAGATCAGTGGCTTCCCTGGCCAGACGTTATGTGCACGGGTATCACGTCCTGTTTACCCAAGTGGGATCCAGAGGCAGACCTTGCCTCAACCTGTGAACCTGATGAAGTGTGGCTGGCCACGGTGGATCAAACACGGCCGATCACCAACCTTTCGCCAATATACACTGCCTTGACAGGCGACCGTTTCCAGCAGATGTCTCCCTGGAGAGAAGAGTGGCTCCATCATGGAGCTGCAGGTGCAAGATCTGGACACCATTATCAATCCATCGCATGGGA